ATAATTTATTCTATATTAGATATTTATTTTGGCATAATATATTAATATATTAATATATCAATATAATATATAAAAATGCATTTGATTTATATAATATATAAAAATATAAGTATATTAATACGTATTGATAATGTATTATAGATGACATTTACATTAATAGCTCATCTATAATTATGTATTATAGACAATATCAACATTAATATATCATCTATAATACACAATCAACGCGTAATAATCTATTGCTATTTCTATACATTATAGAAATATATGATATTTCACATAATTAGGGAATTTATAAATATATTTTATTTTATTTTATAAAACTGCGACTCACCTCTCCACACGTGGGTCCCACTTTTTATGGGGTCCTGTTGCCCTTTTAAGGCGTTGCCCTTTTAAGAAACCGCGTTGCCCTTTTAAGGCATTGCCCTTTTAAGAGCGGCCGGTGGGGCCCGCACTGCGCATGCGCCGCTCCGTTGCTGCAACTTTCAACTTTCGGGATTCGCTCCCTCGGGGTTCGGGGAGAATTTGGGGAGAATTTGGGGGGATTTGGGGGCTCGGGGGGGCCCAGCACCCCCCCGGCCGCACCATGGTGTCCTGGATCCTCAGCCGGCTCGTTGAGTGAGTGGGGTGCGGTGTAAGGGGGTGGGGGGGTCACAGGGGTCCCCCCAAAATCCCCGCACCCCCCCCGTGCTCCATTCATGGGGGTCCCCCAGGAGGGTTTGGGGGGGTCGAACCCCAAATTTGTGTATGCGGGTAACAAACACCCCCTCCCCAAAACGTGGCGCCCCCCCCCAAAATGGGTGCGGGAGCTGCTGCTGGGTGGGTGGGCACGGGTGGGGGTCCCCTGTATCACCCACGGGTGGGAGGGTCCCCTGTATCACCCACGGGTGGGAGTCCCCTGTATCACCCACGGGTGGGGGGGTCCCCTGTATCACCCAGGGGTGGGGGGGTCCCCTGTATCACCCAGGGGTGGGAGGGTCCCCTGCACCACCCACGGGTGGGGGTCCCCTGTATCACCCAGGGTTGGGGGGCTCCCCTGCATCACCCACGGGTGGGGGGGTTCCCTGTATCACCCAGGGGTGGGGGTCCCCTGTATCACCCACGGGTGGGAGGGTCCCTTGCATCACCCACGGGTGGGGGTCCCCTGTATCACCCACGGGTGGGGGTCCCCTGTATCACCCACGGGTGGGGGGGGTCCCCTGTATCACCCGCGGGTGGGGGTCCTCTGTATCACCCAGGGGTGGGGGTCTCCTGTATCACCCAGGGGTGGGGGTCCACTCTATCACCCAGGGGTGGGGGTCCCCTGCATCACCCACGGG